CGGTCTAGCCGACGAAGCCCTCACGGTGAAACTTGGAGAGGAAGCCCCGGCCACCTTCGCCGAGGTGCTCCAGAAGGCGAAGAAAGTCATCGATGGACAGGAGCTCCTCCGAACCAAAACCGGCCGACCTGAACGAAAGATCGGCCGGGGCAGAAGTGGAAAAGATGAAAGGGCAGATCCCAAGTCCAAGGACAAGGGATCCTTCTCCAGCGGCCGAGCTGAGTATCGAAGGGCGGAGAACGGACCTACCAGGAGCCGACCTTACGAGCGCTTCACCCCAACCACGATTCCAATTTCTGAGATCCTAACAAACATCGAGGATTCTGGAATGGAAAAACTACTCAAGCGTCCGGAGAAACTTCGGGGAGCCCCGGAGAGGCGCAGCAAGGACAAGTATTGCCGCTTCCATCGGGAGCACGGCCACAACACGTCGGACTGCTGGGAATTGAAGCGCCAAATTGAGGATCTAATTCAAGACGGCTACTTCAAGAAGTTTGGGAAAGCCCAGGACCAGCTCAGCAGAGAAAAAGGAAGAGCGAAAGCGTTCAAGGACGCCACCCAGGCGCACCGACCGACCTGCGGTCATCAATACCATTTTTGGAGGGCCAAGCGGGGGTCAATCCGGACATAAAAGAAAGGAGTTAGCCCGTGAAGCCAGGCGCGAGGTGTGCATCATCAGGGAGCAGGGGCCGACCTGCCCAATCACCTTCGACGGTGCAGACTTGGAGGAGGTCCACCTGCCCCACAATGATGCCCTTGTGATTGCTCCCTTGATTGATCATGTGGTGGTCAGGAGAGTGTTGGTAGACGGGGGCGCATCCGCTAACATCCTGTCCTTACCGACCTACCTCGCCTTGGGCTGGACGAGGTCGCAATTGAAGAGAAGCCCGACGCCGCTGGTTGGGTTCTCTGGAGAATCGGTCATCCCAGAGGGTTGCATCGACTTGCCGGTCACGCTGGGGCAGGACCAAACTCGGGTCACTCAAATGACCGAGTTCGTGGTAGTTGACGGTAGATCGACCTATAACGCCATCTTTGGGAGACCCATCATCCACTCATTTCGGGYCATTCCCTCAACACTTCATCAAGTTTTGAAGTATTCCACCCCCAATGGCGTGGGCACGGTCCGAGGAGAACAGACCGTTTCGAGGGAATGCTATGCCGCCGCACTCAAAGGCTCATCGGTCTGCGCCCTCGAAACTCTCAGGGATGGGACGCTCGAGCTCGAGGCCGACCTGCCGAGGAAGGAGTTTGCCGCACCCACCGAGGAGCTCGAGCTTGTTCCTYTGCTTAGTCCCGAGAAGCAGGTAAGCATAGGAACCAAGCTGGGGGCCACCGACAGAGAGGAGCTAATCCACTTCCTCAGATCCAACTCGGACGTCTTTGCGTGGTCCCATGAGGACATGCCTGGCATTGACCCGCGAATTATGACGCATCGCCTCAGCATAGATCCATCATTCCGACCTGTGAAACAAAAGAGAAGACCTATAAACAAGGAGAGGAGTGATGTAATTGTTGAGGAAGT